TGTTAAAAAGTAGTATCTCCAAGTCGTGCACTCTGGTTAGCCTTCCGTCCTGACTCTCTGTTGAGATCTTTATGAGTGAGTCTGTCTGTTTTTAATAACCAAATGCTTCATCGTCTAATTAGTAACGCAGCTGAATGGATCAATAAGAATACAACTTATAAACCCCAATATGACAACATGCTACAATGCTTGCATCCAAACAGATGAGAATATAATGCTTGTGACAATGTTTCTGAAACCGGGCAAAGTGATGGACTGCTTTGCAACAGAGAAATGATTTTTTATACCATAGAGGAACTAGAAAAAGTTCATTATGATTATTGTACTGACAGAATATGGTGAATACATTCGATTCTAAAATTACAGACCACCATATTCTACGGTTAGATACTCGTTTCCTTATGCTGCTTATCCGGTCTGGTTAGGTTATATTTCTCGAACTATATGAAATTCCCTTACACCTAATAAAGATAGCATTTTCATCAAGCTTTATGCAAAGTTGTACAAGCCTAATTAATAGAGCAGGTTTTATCTCAGCACAGAGATTCATTGTTAAAGTCAAAGGCCTGGCAGAAAAATGTCTGCGGCAATGATTTTTGAAAATAAATGTAGCTAAGGGTGGGGGGGGGGGGTTTACATTATTTCTTTTAATGAAGGACATTTTAAGATATTTCAGTTTGCTCTTTTTGCATGAGAAACATTCAAACATGGATTTCTCGGAAGAGAGAAACAGTCATGCTTTGCAGGCAAAATAGTTGGCTTACACAATTTAGGATCAAGAAATAACATAATAAAGGAATAAATACTGGCATCATGTAGCAGACAATCTAAAGAAATGATGGCTCAATCAGACCGATGAGTGTTATCACTCATTATATATATAATTCTCTCTCAACACCCAGAATAAAAGAGATATTCTCATCCACGAGATGTGTCATGCTGCATGCTGGTTAATCACCAATGTAAATGAAGACCACAGTATCATGTGGCAGACAATCTAGAGAAATGATGGCTCCATCAGACCGATGAACTCATAATATTTCTCACTCAACACCCAGAATAAGAGATATTCTCATCCATGAGATGTGCCAGGCCACATGCTGGTTAATCACCAAAGTAAGTTTATCAATTGAGGATGGAAGCTTCCCGGAGCAAAAGCTTGTTTTAAAACAATAATATGGTCTATCAGTCCTTTTTGGACACCAGAGTTTGCAGCAAGAGGTGTCGAAGAGTTGTTATAGGGATAACTAGCTTGTGGTAGCCAAGCGTTCATTGCAGCATTGCTGTTGTTATCCTTCAAGGCATCATGAAGCAATTGAGGTGTTAAAATGTGCACTCTGGTTAGCCTTCCGTCCTGGCTCTCTGTTGAGTTCTTTATGAGCGAGTCTGTCTGTTTTTAATGACCAAATGCTTCATCATCTAATTAATAACGCAGCTGAATAGATCTGTTTGAGTGAGTCTGTCTGTTTTAATAACCAAATACTTCATTGTCTAATAAGTAACGCAGCTGAATGGATCTGTATGAGTGAGTCTGTCTGTTTTTAATAACCAAATGCTTCATCGTCTAATTAGTAACGCAGCTGAATGAATCTGTATGAGTGAGTCTGTCTGTTTTTAATAACCAAATGCTTCATCATCTAATTAGTAACGCAGCTGAATGGATCTGTATGAGTGAGTCTGTCTGTTTTTAATAACCAAATGCTTCATCGTCTAATTAGTAACGCAGCTGAATAGATCTGTATGAGTGAGTCTGTCTGTTTTTAATAACCAAATGCTTCATTGTCTAATTAGTAACGAAGCTGAATAGATCTGTATGAGTGAGTCTGTCTGTTTTTAATAATCAAATGCTTCATTGCAAAAGCTTGTTTTAAAACAATAATATGGTCTATCAGTCCTTTTTGGACACCAGAGTTTGCAGCAAGAGGTGTCGAAGAGTTGTTATAGGGATAACTAGCTTGTGGTAGCCAAGCGTTCATTGCAGCATTGCTGTTGTTATCCTTCAAGGCATCATGAAGCAATTGAGGTGTTAAAAAGTGCACTCTGGTTAGCCTTCCGTCCTGGCTCTCTGTTGAGTTCTTCATAGGATCTGTATGAGTGAGTCTGTCTGTTTTTAATAACCAATGCTTCGTCTAATTAGTAACGCAGCTGAATGAATCTGTATGAGTGAGTCTGTCTGTTTTTAATAACCAAATGCTTCATCATCTAATTAGTAACGCAGCTGAATGGATCTGTATGAGTGAGTCTGTCTGTTTTTAATAACCAAATGCTTCATTGTCTAATTAGTAACGCAGCTGAATGGATCTGTATGAGTGAGTCTGTCTGTTTTTAATAACCAAATGCTTCATTGTCTAATTAGTAACGCAGCTGAATAGATCTGTATGAGTGAGTCTGTCTGTTTTTAATAACCAAATGCTTCATCGTCTAATTAGTAACGCAGCTGAATGGATCTGTATGAGTGAGTCTGTCTGTTTTTAATAACCAAATGCTTCATCGTCTAATTAGTAACGCAGCTGAATGGATCTGTATGAGTGAGTCTGTCTGTTTTTAATAACCAAATGCTTCATCGTCTAATTAGTAACGCAGCTGAATGGATCTGTATGAGTGAGTCTGTCTGTTTTTAATAACCAAATGCTTCGTCTAATTAGTAACGCAGCTGAATGGATCTGTATGAGTGAGTCTGTCTGTTTTTAATAACCAAATGCTTCATCTTCTAATTAATAACGCAGCTGAATGGATCTGTATGAGTGAGTCTGTCTGTTTTTAATAACCAAATGCTTCATCTTCTAATTAATAACGCAGCTGAATGGATCTGTATGAGTGAGTCTGTCTGTTTTTAATAACCAAATGCTTCATCATCTAATTAGTAACGCAGCTGAATGGATCTGTATGAGTGAGTCTGTCTGTTTTTTAATAACTAAATGCTTCATCGTCTAATTAGTAACGCAGCTGAATGGATCTGTATGAGCGAGTCTGTCTGTTTTTAATAACCAAATGCTTCATCATCTAATTAGTAACGCAGCTGAATGGATCTGTATGAGTGAGTCTGTCTGTTTTTAATAACCAATGCTTCATCGTTTAATTAGTAACGCAGCTGAATGGATCTGTATGAGTGAGTCTGTTTTTAATAACCAAATGCTTCATCATCTAATTAGTAACGCAGCTGAATGGATCTGTATGAGTGAGTCTGTCTGTTTTTAATAACCAAATGCTTCATCGTCTAATTAGTAACGCAGCTGAATGGATCTGTATGAGTGAGTCTGTCTGTTTTTAATAACCAAATGCTTCATCGTCTAATTAGTAACGCAGCTGAATGGATCTGTATGAGTGAGTCTGTCTGTTTTTAATAACCAAATGCTTCATCGTCTAATTAGTAACGCAGCTGAATGGATCTGTATGAGTGAGTCTGTCTGTTTTTAATAACCAAATGCTTCATCGTCTAATTAGTAACGCAGCTGAATGGATCTGTATGAGTGAGTCTGTCTGTTTTTAATAACCAAATGCTTCATCGTCTAATTAGTAACGCAGCTGAATGGATCTGTATGAGTGAGTCTGTCTGTTTTAATAACCAAATGCTTCATCATCTAATTAATAACGCAGCTGAATGGATCTGTATGAGTGAGTCTGTCTGTTTTTAATAACCAAATGCTTCATCGTCTAATTAGTAACGCAGCTGAATAGATCTGTATGAGTGAGTCTGTCTGTTTTTAATAACCAAATGCTTCATCGTCTAATTAGTAACGCAGCTGAATGGATCAACAAGAATACAACTTATAAACCTCAAAACGACAACAGGCTACAATGCTTGCATCCAAACAGATGA